GAGACATTTCTGTGGAGTTACCCGCCTGGAATGAAGGCAAACTTTTAACAAATCAGTTTTCGACTTCAGTCTGTCCTGTATTGGTGACCTTTGTTATGTGTACTCTCTCTCTCTCTCTCTCTCTCTCTCTCTCTCTCTCTCTCTCTCTCCTCTCCCTCTCTTTTTTTGTGTGTGCGCGGGTCTGTGTTTTTTTTCCTATTAATCCATGTCTTTTCTTTCTTTCTTTCTTTCTTTCTTTCTTTCTTTCTTTCTTTCTTTCTTTCTTTCTTTCTTTCTTTCTTTCTTTCTTTCTTTCTTTCTTTCTTTCTTTCTTTCTTTCTTTCTTTCTTTCTTTCTTTCTTTCTTTCGTTTTTTTAAAGGCAAGAATTAAAGGTAACGCAAGTGAAGGAAATGGCAAATAGGTTATGCATGTATGGATATGTGTGAAAGTGAGTGTAAACATGTAATGTTGTGTGAGTGTATGGATGCTCGGGTGTATTTATGAATACACTGGATGGTGTACATCCATATACCCCCGGGGATTCATACTTATCATCATTTATTCCACATAATGCATCCAACATAAACATGACTGGTGGGATACAAAATAGGATAAGACTGACAGCAAATAGTGAAGACTAATGGATCGATACTGACAGGACCAGAGCACCTAACCACCAACTTTTTTTCCCTCTTTAATGGTATGATGGTTGTTTGTTTTAGTATCCAGAAGCCATGAGTTGTTAACCCTTAGGCTCGGTATTATGGATATCTCAACCTGTCGGCATTGATTCCATTGTAAATACCGTAAATCTGGGAGAAAATGTGGCTTTCCTGCCTACCCCCGGGATCGAACCCGGACCACAAGGAGTTCGTCACCCGGTCTCCGCGTTAAAAACTGGTGACGTGATGTGTATGTATACTCCCGGCTAGAATCCAGCAAGACGGCAACGACGAGGAATGATTGAATGATTTCCCGCCATCTTTCCCCTCCCTACCCATTCAGGGTGCACGATGGGTACAATCCCGACCCCCCCCCCCCAACCCACCCTCTCACCCCACCCCTTTTTTGGGCTAGCTAGCAGCAGGAGGAACGTGATTGTTTTTGATTTTTTCTTGAAAGGAATTGGAATTGGACAATAAAAGAGAGTACAGATGATACCAAAACTCATTAGAAATTCAAACCAACACCGACATGATACAAGAGTATTATTATAGAGGCAAAAATCACCACCATTTACACCGTCTGATGACTACAGACAGTGGAACCACATAAAACATTACCTGAACAAGTTCTACACAATAAAGATCGCAAATAAAACCTAAAACTCTGAGCAGCTGAAAAGCGGAAACGCTTGAACGCGATCGAATTATTGTTTTTGTTCTGCAAATAAATTGGATTGTATAATTGGTACTGCCCTGCCTTCCCCGGCGCCACCAGGTCGACCTAGCCTGAAACAAAGAGCACCAGGAAATGTCCTGAACAGCAAAGGCGGCCAGCGTAATGTTAACATCAATTACTGCGGGTCGATTAGTCTGTAAACCTGTGAGACTAGCATCCTGTGCACAGATAGTATCCCACTGGCTTGAACCAAACCTGTAAGACTAGCATCCTATGCACAGATAGTATCCCACTGGCTTGAACCAAACCTGTGAGACTAGCATCCTATGCACAGATAGTATCCCACTGGCTTGAACAAGTCCTTAGCTGGTAAAGTAAAGGAAAGGACCCTTTTCCACGCCTTCTGGCATGTTGGAATCTATGTTTTATAGACGTCGACAGTCAGGGGGTGATGTGGTCAACATCGGGCCGACCGCTTTTACTTCCCGGGACTTTTTAACTACCTGGTACCCATTTAAGGCTGGGGCGACCTGGGAGCCAACTCCATGGGGGGGGGGGGGGGGGGGACAAGTCCCGTGCAGTTTGGATTTGAACCCGCGATCTTCGGATCCATAGGCAAGTGTCTAACCGCTACACCACAGCGGCTGCCATAACTGGTAGGTAGTCTAGCTGTTATCTGGCACGCTTCCGAAAACTGGTCCCAAATTATTAACTGTTTACAAAAATCCCATTCAGGGCCTTAAGAACACTACGAACTAAGCTTCGCATTATTATATAATTTTATTTGCAGCAAGAGCTTGAGGCTTCAGTAGTACAGTTGTAAGTATTCCGCCTGTCAAGCGGATGACCGGCGTTCGATTCCCTGCCGAGTGATAATAATTTTTTTTAAGCCCTTACAAGAGCGGTTGGCACATTGTGTTGTGGTTTACAGCTAGCATGCGATATCTGCGTCTTTCGCGCCAACACATCTGATCTTAGCAACGTCCTAATAAGTCGCATACAACATGCTTTTAGGTGACAGTGGATCTATTCTTTTTTTTTCTCTCCTCAAACATGTGGTCCTGGAACCCACAAGGAGAGTCATGGGTAATGTGAACAGTGGATCAAAATCGATTCCTTCCCATGCCGCTTCAATGGATCGAAAACTATTTCTCTCCACGCCGCTTAGCCTAACGTTTAAAAATTGCTATTCATCGAGCAAAAAAGTAAAAACAGATGATGATAGCCTAAATGATTTTACTACATAACCTCTTGAGGCTCTCAAAGGGATGTTCTTCGCAGTGAATAATTTGGGACCGGTATTCGGAAGAGTACCCCGTTATCTATTCGCCTCCTCTCACATAGCCCGCAGTTAGTGTGTGTGTGTGTGTCTGCGCGTGCGCGGGAACTGATAGTGTATCCACTTGTCCCTAACACATAGGGTGCCCCAGAATCGCCACAGGCCACTAACAGTGCAGTGAACAATGATCTCTGAGCAGTTTTTGTTTTGCGGTGCAACTCTTGCTGCTAGTATTGGTGGCCAAAGTAACTTGCCTTGCCTTGGCCAGCAAGCTCAGCCGCTAGTGAAATTATCGATCTCCCTCCCGCTGTCTCTTCCGTACCCCCGCTGTCTCTTCTGTTCCCCCGCTGTCTCTTCCGAGCCCCGCTGTCTCTTCCGTTCCATGCGGTAGTCCCGCTTGTCCTAGTTTCTCTGTCCTCTCTGGTGCCACTGTGACTTGTTCTTTTCTCTCTCTCTCTCTCTCTCTCTCTCCCTCTGTCTGTCTGTCTGTCCGTCCGTCCGTCAGTCAGTCTGTCTGTCTGTCTGCATGTCTGTCTGTCTGTCTGTCTGTCTGTCTGCATGTCTGTCTGCATGTCTGTCTGTCTGTCTGTCTGTCTGTTTGAAAGCTATTATTATTTAAAAATGAAGTTACCAGTCTAGCGCATTTCAGCGTTTGTTTGTAAACCAATATTTAATTGTTGTCGATGATGTTTATATTACGCTACCTGATAGACTCGTAATATTATTAGATTAGGTGTAATGCTATACTTGTTAAAAAGTTTAGTAATGAAATATAGTAAGAGCACATTGCAGCGGTTGTAATTAAGACTTAGATAGTATGAACACATTTTAATTATTAACTGTGAAATGATGTATGAATGAATAACGGTATGCAAGAAGTGGGCTGGAACGGCAAAATGTTGAATGGGGCTGCATGCCCAATTACTAGCCCTTAAAAAATTAAAATTTGTTTGTTTTGTCTGTTGTTTGTCGTCATACCCGTTTAGCAATTCTGTGTATTCAGCGTATCCACAGCTGTTCATATCTCAAAGGTCTTGCTGGTGCATACCCTTCTTTATAGCCTCTCTCTCTCCCTCTCTCTCTCTCTCTCTCTCTCTCTGTCACACACTACCGCACACAGTTACACATCACACAGTCATCACTTCTGTTTGTTCCCCCTCCCCTCTTTCACCCCTCCCCCACCCCTTTCACTCTGAGGCAACTGTACAGGGGTAACGACCGGTTATTGTCAATTATTTCTAGAATTTCGCCATTATGGGGAGTCCACGGATGTGCCCGTTTGTCAGTTCCCACCCCAATTCCTTGGTGCGAGGCGTGTCGCCGGCAGTGTGGCTGTTTCGTTTTTGAGAATTAAATTGTATATATTCTAACCCAATTCTCTCCTCCCCACTTCATGAAAAGTTGCTTATGTTACTGACAGTGAAACCATGTCTGTTTGACATTGGCTTTATCCATCTTAGACCTTGCCTCATTCAACGACGCTTCTTTTGGACAGCTTTTGTGTGTGTAACTAATATAATACAGTAGAGATAGTCCTTGAAAGTGGTGGTGGGGGGGGAGGGCGTGTGCTCCTGCAGGTGTGAATGTGTGCGCGCGCACGTGTACGTAATAATATATGTGTACTTATATGTTGATACTGTATTGTATTTGATTTCTCGGAAACCAATGTTCTCCCCCTCTTCCTGGGAAATGGCTCCTGTAAACCAAACCTGATATTCTCATATGACATTAGCCACCCCGAACCAGGCAGTTCTCATTGTCTTTACTATTTCCAACAGTTTTTACGCTAGAATTCAGTAGTTTCTGTCTGTCAGTCTATCTGTGTATGTCTGTCAGTCAGTCTGTCTATGTGTCTGTCAGTAAGTCTGTCTGCCTGACTGGCTGGCTGTCTGTCTGTCTCTTTGTCTGTCAGTGCATGTTCGTGTGTCTGTCTGTGTGTGAATGTCTCTGTGTTTGTATATCTGTCTATCAGTGTTTTGTCTGCCTGTCTGTGTATGTATGTATCTGTCTGTCTATCTATCTGTATGTCTGCGCGGGCGCACGCTCATTGCTTTGATAGATGGGTTAAGATCCTTGCTTTCGCGAGGATGTTGTCCCATACCCCTCCCCTGTCGAACAAATCCCTAAAGCACTCGCAGAGACGCTGAATGTCCCAGGACCCCCTCCCCTTGGTCAAGACCTGTCCACCCCTAGGCGAGGTTATCCTAGAAGCCGGTTCCCAGCCGTTAACCTGACCAGTGTAGATAGGATCGATGTTATTTCAAAGTCGCACTGCATCTGCAACGAACCCTTAGTCTCCACACAGCTAAGCTAGATCTGTACTGGCTTGTTTGTATCACATAACAGATCAACCGCATACTCATAATAATAATAATAATACACGTTTTTTTTTGTTCACAGATACAATGGACGAAGTTAAAATCGCAGCCCATATGTTTG